GTTAGTTAGTTGTGTAGTAGTAGTTGTTAGTAGTGTGTGTGTGTGTGTGTGTGTGTGTGTGTGTGTGTGTGTGTGTGTGTGTGTGTGTGTGTGTGTGTGTGTGAGTGAGAGAGAGAGTGTGTGTGTCGTCTCAGCTCCGTTTGATTTGTGTGAGAGACAGTGAGCCTGGTTTTGTGTGAGTGTGTGTATCAGGGGTCAAAGGTGAGGGTCTGGAGAGGTTGTGTTTCTGCCGAGGGTCCCATTGGGGCTATCGTAGAGTGTATGAGAGAGAAAAATCTACTGCCACAGCCTTTACCTAACACACACACACACACACACACACACACACACACACACACACACACACACACACACACACACACACACACACACACACACACACACACACACACACACACACACACACACACACGTCACCTAACCCCTAACCCTGTCTGAGCAGAATCTATTGTCCCTGACACAGGGACCGTGTCTCCACCACGGATGACTGACCGTGTGTGTGTGTGTGTGTGTGTGTGTGTGTGTGTGTGTGTGTGTGTGTGTGTGTGTGTGTGTGTGTGTTTTCATCAGGTCTAGTGTCACTGCACCCAGCCATCACGACCCACCAAATAGCTCAGTATGATGCAGGACACACACACACATGCATGTTTTCATAGTTTGCTTGTTATATGATTAAAATAAATATTAATAAGATGCATCTATAGTCAAATTCAAAGGGTAGATAGATTGATATTTTATTTGTCCTTAATTGAGAGATTGTTTTATTACAGCATCAGTGTGTTCAGGCATTAAGTTAACACATTTAAAAGGTGGAATATAGTATAAACATAATAAAATAGAAACAATATTTATAATAATACAAATAAATAATACATTCTAGAATCACTAATGGACATGTAAAATATTTTACATAGAGGAAAAGGGTCAGATTGCAAATAGCTCACTCAAATGCATCTGGTTTCAGGCTCAACCTCCCACTGTTCCTGGCCTCACTGATATCCTCAAATTGTTATCCACAGTTTGGGGCCATAGATGTAAAAAGGGTTTCAACCCTACCTTTTAATTGTAGTGGGTCTGAGCCTCTTCTAACCCCCTCAGTGGGGGATCTGAGGCCCGTAAAACAGGAGTATTTCCCCCGGCTCCCCCTGGTTGTATGCAACTAACCCATCTCCTCGCTCACTTTGAAAAGAGGACATACTTTCCTTAATAGCAGTCATAGATATGTAAGTCCTTTTGTTAACGTTGAATTCAAAATGTTGTTCTAAGTGAGAAAATATCCGAACCAGAACACAAACGCTTGAAACGAGGCTCTACAGAATGTCATTGTCCCTGCTCTCTGTCTGAGGGGGTCAGCAGGGTCGAGTCACAGGATTGGAGGGTGCCGAGTGCTATGCCTGCTGGGTAGTAAAGTAGAGGGTGAGCAGGGGTGGGAGGTGGGGGTCGGGTGTTCGGGATGCAGGGGTTAACAGAGGTGAGAAGGTAATTGAGATCAGGCAATGTGAGGAGTGATGGCTGTCATTTGTGCGAGGAATCAGAGAAAACTGAATCAGCAAGTACGGTGGGAGCTGCTGCAAACAGGAAACAAAGCACAATGCATAATTAGTGACATGGTAAAAAGTGTGTGTGTGTGTGTGTGTGTGTGTGTGTGTGTGTGTGTGTGTGTGTGTGTGTGTGTGTGTGTGTGTGTGTGGAGGAGGGGAGCGTTGTGTTTATGGGATGCTGCCTGACTGCCTGGCGGAGCTGCGGGGTGTGAAGGGCTCCTCTAAAGTCCACCGCCACGGCCATAAATCTTGTATTTCCTGTTCTGTTTTCTCAGTATACACATGTGTATAAAACCATTCATTATGCAGAGACCCCGCCAAACAGTTTCCAAACTTGTGAGGCAAAGAAAAGTCATGAAGATATTGGCTAGGATACAACTCTTTTGGGTTAGATAAGGTGTTTTGTTTTAAATCACGGCAAATTATGCTTGTATTTACATTTTCTAGACATTTAGCCAGTGCTCCTGTTGAAAAAGAATTGAATGATAGAATTCGAGTGTAATGAAAAACAGAAATTCAGAGCAGCAAAGTGGCCACTCCATGGTTTCTGTTATTTGACTGACTGGATAGCCAAACTAATGATATGTCATCTTTGTTTTTTAAAGGAGCTGTGTGGGAAAGTGGACTTCACAATAGAGCCGGGCTTCCTGTGGTTAGCAGTAACCCATCTATTCTCAGTCAGCTCTTTGTTTGACTTAGGTAGAGATGTATTGACAGCCGCGGTGCAAAGAATTTTTTCTTTTTTTTTCTTTGCTTTGCACTTTTCCCTTCAGGTCATCTACTGTATTTGACCTCACATTTGAACTGGAGTGGGTTTTGCATCAGCGCACAGTGAGGACAGAGAGCCGGAGACAGGAACATTTCTACATGTGTTCCAGTAGGAGGCTAATTTAGGAGGAAAGTCCCTGGAGGAGCAGGGCATGGAAAAAGTGCACAGCTGGCACACATGGGCTCTCTCCTTTCACCCAATATTCACATTTCTCTTCTACTTTTTATTGATGGAGCCTTAAACAATTGCGAAAGGCTGCATTTCAATATTTAAAACGATATAAGTGTTAAGATATCTATATCTTCGGGACGTACCTGGATTTACCAGGGTTCGGTGATCACATTTATTCTGCATTACTTAGTATCCACCTGGAGCCATGTCACTTCCTTTTATATACATTCATATTATCCTTTTTATCATTTGGATTGCACATTGATTGCATATTGGATCCTCCTCTGTTGCTCTCCCTAAAAGTTGTATTCAGTTTTGTGTGTGTGGGGTTTCTTTAGGAGTTTTTGTTGCAGGTGGTCTGTGGACGGAGGGTCTCATGTTGTTCAGACTGTAAAGCCCCCTGAGACACGTGTCATTTGTGATATTGGGCTATGAATAGTGTGATTGAGTGACTTCACAGGTTGACCACTAGAGAGCAGCAGCGTAGAAGCAAAATAAATAAATTTTTGTGATCCAATTTTAAGTTTAGTGCTAACCTAAAAATGTGTACTATAAGAATCCTAAACATGAAAACAATACTAAACACAAACTATATACATATCACAATTGCCTTGCAAAAATAAAAAGCATATATATAAAATAATAATAATAATAATAATAATATATACGAATAATAATAATAATAAAAGAAATACTGATCAAAAACATAAAATAAGTCCTGACATTGGTAAATATCTAATGTGTGTGTCAGTTAACTTACATTCTATAAAGGTGACACATAATATCTGTGTTAGAAAATGTGGATTTAAAAGAGCAACATTGAGGATATATTGAGCCTGCAGTTGGTGAAATAAAGCTAGCGGTCTTTTAGTAAAATATCCCTAAAATAATACCATTAAATATCAAAGGAGGACAAATGGAGTGTTTCATAATCATAGTTTTCTTATTGACAGTTCAAATTTCTTCTTTTTTTTAATTGAATTTTTTATTTTTACCTTACAACAATCTTTTGATATTCAAGGAAGTCAAAATCGAGGCAGGACAAGTGGCTTTTTAAGTGCTCTTTTGCAAGCTGAAACCGCCGCTGAAATGTCTCTTTCTGAATCTACAGCATGTTTCACCTGGAGTACGGACATTTCAATTGGATCTGTATAGCAGGAATATGAAAGACAGTGATTTCATCAGATATAAAGAAACATATCTAACATCTTGTCCTTTTCTCTCCCCTTCCCAGGCGGCCTATAACCTTGCCAACGTGGCCTGTAAGTGCCACGGGGTCTCGGGGTCCTGCAGTCTGAAGACCTGCTGGCTCCAGCTGGCCGACTTCAGGAGTGTGGGCGAGTTCCTGAAGGAGAAGTATGACAGCGCGGCGGCCATGCGCATTGGACGCAAGGTATACAAACATCACGCATAGCAGAGGAAGAGTCACGAACAAAACCCTGAAACAATCATCTCACACAAGCTGTCTCTTTCCACTTCTAACAGGGCAAGCTGGAGCTGGTAGAGAAGCGCTTCAACCCCCCCGGCCCGGAGGACCTGGTCTACACGGACCCCAGCCCGGACTACTGCCTCCGCAACGAGACCACGGGGTCCCTGGGCACGCAGGGCCGCCTCTGCAACAAGACCTCAGAGGGCATGGATGGCTGCGAGCTCATGTGCTGCGGCCGAGGGTACGACCAGTTCAAGATCTACAAGCACGAGCGCTGCCACTGCAAGTTCCACTGGTGCTGCTACGTCAAGTGCAAGCGCTGCTCCACCCTCGTAGACCAGTTTGTGTGTAAATAGCACACAAGCGGATGGGGGGGGGGAAGTTAAGTCTGAATTTTCAGGGTTTTGTTCAGGATAATTTAAGACTTAAGATCCATTTTTTTTACCCTGCTCCATTTATGTCACCTGCTGTGTTCCATCTAGAGGAAAGCAGCTATGTGTCTGTGAGTAGCACAATGATGCATAGCTACAGTGGATGGGTAAAGATTTAGAGGTGGACAAAAGGAGGAAGCACAGAGGAATGGGATTTGTTCCTCGCTTTTTGAACAACTTTTTATTTGATCAACTGAGATTCCCCCTGCATAATATCCTGATCACAACCCTGAGTGAAGGAGGAAAGAAAAGAAGGACTAAATGGATGAAGGATATAAAGGACAAATGGACACCTATGACCAGTGTGATAAAAGATGAAATAAATATATTAATAAATAATAAATGAATATACAACTCTGATTGTTATTTAAAGAGACTCAAACAAACTGCAGGCACACTTTGGACCCATACAACTCACTGGTTCAGGAGTCATCAAAGTCCTCTTGGAGCTTGAAGCCATGTGAGGGCTGAGCAGTGTCCCTGTGTCTTTCTTGGAACTTTAACCCTGCAAGAGAACTTCCTGCAGACGTGAGGTGTGCTGATGTGTGGGAAACATGCTCACAGAGGACACCCGAGATGTCCAGAGTGACACGAAAGGAGGGAATAGAGGGAAAAGGTTCAAGTACAATGAGAAGGACTTTATGATGATTTGTCAACAAAACACTTAATCCTCCAGGAGACACATGTTGGAGCAGACCTCCAGCAGCTGTGACCTGACCGTGTGTCTGCGCAGGTAATGAGGCTCGCTGGTTGCAGCCATCTTGGCTCCACGAACATTTAAACAACGGCGTCCTTCATCTGACAGTGAAGAGAGCGAGGCCTCCATCAGTGAGATGCATGCTCTCTCTGCCTTAATGAACCGCACTAAGAGACACTGCCAGTGGACCTGTTCATCTCATGTTGTTATGCAGCTTGTCAACAAAAAGCCCTGTGGGGTCGACTCTAACATTTTATAATTCTGTATTACCATGAATTTTGCAAGAATATTTTAAGTGTATAATCTAATCCAATCAATAGCAACCATGAAGATGACAGAGTGGACTGAACATGCTGTGGGAAATGAATGTTTGAACGTGGAAAAACAGAAAGACTGCAATTTATTACTACTTTTAAACAAGTAGTAGATCAGAGAAGAAGGTATATTTTATTATTGTGTTTCATTTTCTGTTTTCTATGTTTTATACCTGAGTATTATTGTGTATTCTTTTGATAAACTAGTCTTCAAAAACAAAGCTTTGTGCTGTTCTTGAGTCTGCTGCAGTTCTTTTGGAAAAGTCTGATCCCCGCCGGCGTTTCTTACAAACGACAGACACGTCTTGTCATTTCCAGGGTGTTTGGGAAAATGATGCTGCAGTTGCTAAAAGGAGTAAAGTCGTACAGTAGTGCCATTCACAACAACTATGCCAACATTATAAATGACACATAATTGGACTAAGTAATTCTAGTCTGAAGCACTGGCTTAATGTCTCTTATGGTGGTTTGTATACTAATATGCATTATTTTTGTACTACAATATGATGAGATGACAATTGTGCACAACTGGCTTTTACAAACAACCCTTAACTGATTTTGATGAATGGCCTCATAATTGTATTGCATCAAAGCATGACATAAAATGTAGCAACGAAAAACACTGTCACATCCTAAATCTGCAGTGATGAAATGTGTAGCGCACAGTCATGGTTACACAGGTGTGTACTGAGACCAACAATCCCACGACTTGTAGCTGCTTATAATTGGATTAGACAACTGAGCAGAGCGGCATGAGGACCTGTGGTACTGCCTCTGTCTGTGTGATTGTTGTTTTTGTCTTTGTGTGGAGGGACATTGCATCCTGGTGGTGTCTCTAATCCTTGTCACCTGACAGCCATCCGCTGCGTGATGCTGCTAACTTCATTGTGCTCACCTCTAAAACAAAGGTAATGTTATCTTTCTTTCACAGCGCCATTTCTTGCTCTTTTTCGAGAATGTTCCCATGTTTTCCTTATCATAATAATTTAGTTGTTATGTCTGTTCCTGTGCAGGTGGAGGACTGAGGATGTTGGCGCTGATTTCACCATCACTCTGTCTGCAGCTTTGGTGCCTTAAGTCGATCTTGTACATTTGGCATCATTCTCAGGAACAAACAAAAACACATTCTTTTTTATTTTTTACATCAACTTCTCAGTTCTTACATTTAGCCCTAAGGAAGCAACGCAATAATACAAATACATTTCTATTCAGCCCCCTCCATCACCTTGAAGTTTGACTTGTCTCTTCAGGTGTTTGATGAAATGAGTTGTCCTGCAGCTTAGACTTTATTATAAATATTCTCTCATCTTTCTTTTTACAGCGTTTGCTCTCAGCTAAGCAGCCGAGTAGGACGAAAAATGTAGCCGCAGGTCTGTTTTAAAGGCCAAAAGTGTGTGTGCATCTGTGCGCAAACCAGTCTGAGACCCCAGTAGAGCTTCAGGAAGAGTCCTGATCCGACCCCTGGTCTTACCTGCAGGAATGCTGTGTGTTCTGCCAGCTGCTTTATAATGACCCAAAGCTGCTTAGTGGCATGAATTGGCCATTTTGCAGTTGGATTAAATGACTGCTAGACGACATATTTTCTGATTTCCGTGAAGTTTTTTGGCATTGAACAATTAGCAGTAATTCCTCCACAGCCTGCTCTCCCATATGTTAGCAGGAGAGGAGCAGCTCCCTCTGGGTCCAGCAGGGGGAAACAACAACATCTAAAACAGACTGGATGTTGCCCCAGAAGAACCCTTGAGTGCAAATATGTTAGGATGTCATTGGGGTCAAGCATCTCCCTTTTTTTCCTTCTCCTTTTCTGTCTTCTTGGAAACACACACAGAGCTCAAAGAGCCAGTCTATCCCTGATGCTCAGCCACTGATGTGTAAGGTCATTCATCCATATATACATAGGCCTATATATATATATATATATATATATATATGGATGAATTACATATGCAGCTTGTATATATATACAAGCTGCGGCTGGAGCAG